AAATTTAAACTCTACCTCTTTACCAAATAAAGTAAATTTAACTTAAATACCTTGTAAATTGCACATGAAACTACTCTACTATCACTTATTGTCTCCTTGCCACCATCTCCTAACTGCTAATGTTATTCATACCGGTTACGGTTAGTAGCTTTGTTTTAATTGCTATATAAAATCTAGCCCTAGATTTTTTTTTTTTTAATTGTTATGAAAGCCCTAAAATCCTTTTTTTTTTAAATTTTTTCATATTTAATAATTACATTAAATTTGACTAATCTGAATTAAAAAAAAAAAAATCTGGTAACTAAACTCGAACCAGCGGCAAAGTCCTAACAACTGTTTCTCCATACGCAACTTGAACTCGAAAGTTTAAAAGTAAGGGAAATCTGGTAACTTCCCCTCGAACCAGCGGTAAAGTCCTAGATTTTTAAATGAAAATAAATATAGAATGCGATTAACGGGTTAAGATCTATGGAAACTCACTTCCTCATCCTCCCACCATTCCCAACAGCTTCACTTCCACTTCTCTTCCTTACACCTTACACTATAAACCTCAATAAATCCAAAAGCAACACAGTCGCACGGTGCGGCCCCCCTGGTGGACAATTCAGATTCGATCCGATAGACGACGAACCATACTCAGACGATGAATTCCGGTTCGCAGGCACCAAAAAAAAGCAGAGGGTTTGGTGGTCCGATTATGATGACAACGACGAGGACTGGTGGGAGTTTGAAGAGGATGACGAGTTCTGGGTCTTTAAGGTATCAAACAAATATAAGAGATTGCAATTATACGATTAATCTTTGTTTGGATGCCGAAAAAATTGTCTTTTCAAATTCCATAGGTAGGAATTTGTAAATTATTAAGAGTTTGAACTGCAGCTAAATATTTAATTTATGGAGAAGATTTGTTCTATGATAAAGGGTTTTTTTTTTTTTTTTTTTTTTTTTTTTTTTCATTTTAAGGAGAAGCAAAAAGAAAATGAAATTAAATTAGGGTCTGTGATCACTGTTAGCTGGGGAACCTAATTCTCTGCTGTTAGGATGGGATTCTGGCTTTTAACTTGTAAGCAGTTGCTTGAGGAAACTAATTCACAAGGGAATGAAGGGCAGGATTTGTAAAGCTTCTGAGAATAATACAGTATCTTTGTTGAGTTGACTATCATGTATGGAAAAAACACACACACACACACACACAATCTTCTCATTGTGGTATAGTGTTTTTCTAGTGGCAACACATGGTGTTCCACCCAAATTGTGGTTCTGGGAAAATTGAAAGCTGCCGAGAAATGGATGTCCAATGTAACAACTGATGAGATTGTTTTGGGAGATGTGGGGTGTTCTGGTGGAGTGCAGCATAGTCTTGATGTGATATGTGACTATATCTAATTATCTATTATTTCTCTGCATGTATAGAAGATTACTGGCATCTATGGATATATTATATATTTGAGGTTTTAGTCTTCACCTTCACTGATTATGGGGTGAAATATTGTTGGCATCATATTATAAGTAGGCATTTAAGAATGCTTAGATAAAGATAAGATTGCGATTTAGTTTTCTTTACTAAACGTCTGCTTGTTTTAGTCTTTTTCCATTTTGTTGTAGGTATTTGTTAGCACTACATGGCATAGCATCATCAGTTATTTACTGAAGACTTTAAACTGTAATGATTCTTTCTTGAGCTTGTTTCATTACAACTTGCCTTTACAGGACTACATGTAATCTACAGCTTGCATTCTGAACCATGAAGTTAGTTATAATTAGTATATTCTTTGATTCTTTATGAATTTTCTGGGCTCATTTGTATGCCTAATAATCACATTCTCTTCATGATATAATTTTGACTTTATACTTCCAAATCATTGAAATTTACATACTCTCAAGTTGTCTGCATACAGGTATTTAAAGCTTTCACTTGGATGTTACCAGCCATTGCTATATCTTTGCTTCTAGGAAATGGTCCAGATGCTTTCCTTATGGCATTAGCAGTTCCATTAGCACAGTCAGCACTTTCTCTTGTGTTTGACAAGGTTTGGGGAAGGACAAGTGATAGCTGGAGACCCACCCCCAAGACCAAGCAGAGGAAGAAACCATTTGCACCAGCTTCAAACAATGTTAAAACGAGCAGGGGAAGAAAAGAAGAAAATACAACTGATGGAGAGGCAAGTTATCAGTCATGGGTGGGTAGAGCTAGTGGTTTCCGTAATAGTGGTGCAAAAAGAGCCACAAAGTATGGTGGGTGGGATCAGCTAGATATGCAAATGGGGACCCAAAAGAAGGCATCAAATCGAAAGGCAAATTGGGTACCAAAACAACAAACGATGAGCAAACTGAGTAGGACAGGAAGAGTCAGAGAAGTACCATTACTAGTTAGGTTGCTGGTTGCCATTTTCCCATTCTTGAGTTCCTGGACTAAGATACTCTGATTTAGTTTTCCCTCCTGCTCTATTGGAAGCTACTAGGTGCTTTTTCCATGCCTTTTGTGATCTTTCATAGACGTCATCCATGCCAGCAGAAAGAAACTTCCGCTGTCGTGTGTTGTCAATGACATTGGAAGAAACTCTAAAATGCAGAGGTAACAATTAGCAGTGGCTCCTGTAGGTAATTTCACGCCATATTTTCCTTGCTTGCTTCTATAGCTGATTCTTCCTGAGCAATGTGCTGAGACCTTACAAGTTGTAATATTTATGCATATCGAACATTTGATGTGGTTACTTAGACTTCGCTGGAGATATAAGATGGGCAAATATAGTAATCTTGTTGATGTAATTGTTGATTTTTGCTGTATGAAGAATGAACTTAGCTCTTTGTTCTTGGACTATTTTTGAAATGTGTAATCCATTGATCAATAACAAGAACACATTGCATATAATAACTTCCTTAGAAAATAATGCTATTTCCATGCCTGTTTTTGCAATTTGTCGTTGTTCTTATTGAACTAATAATACACATTGCTTCTTGACATTTTAAGACCAACAAAAATTGCAGAAAACTAGCAGAAACAAGAGAGGAAATAGCATGATTCTATAATACAGAATTAAAGAATTTGACACTAAGAGCTAAATTTTTACTTGATGTTGCAAGTTGCAATAATGATGAAAATCAATCATGTGAAAGCAGTCATTGGCACCTCGGATTATTCCCAGGCCCTCCATAGTAGAAATACGTGCCCCATTCATTGTTGTAGGAGCTCTGGATGTTATAACAATTTGTGTTCTCAGCCAGTGTTGATATGTCATGGATAGAGCTCAAGCTGTTATCAGCATCCACGATTTCCAGGTTCCGGAAATAGCTTGCTTTTCCAAACCCATCTTCAGCAAAGTGGCCAGAGCCCATCTGCGTTGACGTGTGCTTGCCGTTGGCCCTGGAGTTAACCACCTCGCCGCCCCACTCAACCATGGTGGCATGGTCTGCTAGGTGCGTGAACAACTCTGCTGGCCAGTACCCTACGAGTGTATTGTCTCCAAATCCCATCCACCAATTTCCCAGCTTCGGATCCTAATTAATTTATGGGACCCATAAAAAAATAATAATAATGAAATTTTTAGTCATGATAAATAATTTTAATTTAATTGTAAAATTTGCAAAGGAGATATTCACTACTAGGTAAAAAGAGTTAGGTAGTAATAGTTATACCTTCCAAACGAGGATGGTTATGTCGTATTGGTTTCCATTATATGTAGAAACAGGAGAAATGGCAGCTCCAATGGCAATTCTATTGTTTGTTTGCACAAATCCTGAACAGAGAAGATTGTAGCATCCTGTAGCTTGATATGAATCCGTCTGTAAAAGTATAACAAAAAACATTGATCATAAATAAATAAATAAATTTTAATGATCCTCTTATAGTTAGATCTAAATATATCATATATTTCACAATTTTTTATAAATTATATAAATAGTTTACTGATAATCACTGTAAATTATTAAAAGCACTTAACTTAAAAAACAACAATCTCATCATTCATTCATTTAGGGCTAATGTTAACATTAGTTAGCATATAAATGCTGTAAAATTGAGAGATTATGCCTACCAAATTCATTTAAACAGATCAACTATAAAGCCCACTTCATCCAATTGATAGTAAGACAATGCCAACCTCCTCAAGGCACATGCAATGGTGCTAAAATAAATGCTGTCTTGGGCTTCTAATTATGGCAACTGATGTCCGATGATTTTCTAGAGGCATTAAAAGTCAAGATATATAGTACATAAGAAGGATGAAATGAATTTTTTTGGGCACCTTTTAGGTTAATGGATATTAAGCCTGTTAAGTTTTAGGTGATAGGATCAAATGAACTTGAGTTTGACGGAGATGCCCTCATCATCTTTTTCTAGCCGGACAAAATTTTTAAGATTCCCTATCAATAGTGAAGTGTTGTTGGATGTCTTTCTCCAACCATTGCATTCCCAATTTTGTTTTCGTTTTATTTAATTTTAGATTTTTTTTAACATGTGCTATGTATATTATATTTTTTTATTAATTTACATAAAAAATAATAAAAATAAATTATATTTTTAACACCAATGTCATATATATAATTTTAATTAAATAATAGATAAAATTAAAATTTACTTTTATATATTTTATAAAAATATAATAAATATATTCTTAACATGTATTTATGTAAAAAAAAATCCTTAATTATCATATTAGTGGTAGTTTGAAAGTTAGTTAATTAACTAACCAATAGTGAATGTTGTTGGGTGTTTTTCTCCAAAATATATAATTTTTTAATTTTTTTAAGGTTTCTGGTTTTAAGTTTAAAATGTCTATTTTTTTTTTTTTTTAGCAATTAAAGTCCTACAGGCTAACTTGTACATGCATTGCATTCATGTATTATTAAATATGGTTTAATGCTTTAGAAGCATGAAAATATAATTTTATTTAATATCTTATTTTAGATTGGTAGGACTTAATTACCTTTAAACCTTATATAAGAAAATAACTTACCTAATTAATTGGAGAATCTTATTATAAGTTTTCTTGTAATCAATAAAAAAAAAAAAATTGGTTAATGCTTAGTTTTAGAGGATTTTGAACTTCGGACTTCAATCTTTGAAAGTTTAGATGTTGACGAACAGAAACGCAGTTCCTTTTACATGTCTTAGTTGCATAAGACATAGAATTTTCAGGGTCCACCTACATGATTTTATGGAATCATAAGAAAAGCTAATTAGATCTGATTTGGATCTAATGTTCGCAACGTGGAATAAACAGAACCCATTCTATTAACATGAAAGTCAATATTAACCTATCCAAATGCATCCCAGATCTCTCTCCTCTCAGTTTATAGTGTTCTATGTGTTAAGATTTTAATTATGCAATTAAGAATTTGCACAGTTTGAAATTTCTCCAAATTTTCACTGAATTCTATGAATCTTTTGAACAAGTTTGTTTCTTGGCCTTCATTTTTTAAGTTTTGAATAATCTTTAATTGAAACTCAAAAATTATTATAATCGTAATTATTACTTTTTTAGATCTAATTTAGTTACATCAGTTTAATTTTTACATAAAATTTAATTAAATAATTTTATATAATAAATATATGACAATTATTATTTTTTGTCAATAGATAATTCTTCTTGAATATTTTTACTTAAATCAAAAAAATTATTTTCAAGTATAATTCGTTTATTATATAAAATCATTAATTTAATTTATATAAGGTAGAGAGAGTATATTTATCATAAAATTTCTTCTTTAAAAAAAAGAATCAAGACAAAGGGCACCTTCCGTTTCAAAAAAACAAAAGACAAGGGGCACCTTTCTTTGACTCAGAACTATGAAACAGTGCACGTGAGAGTCATTTCATGGGTCATGTGTCCTTAATTTACTATTTTACTCTACTTGGACCGCAAATTTAGGTCATCCATTTAATTAGCCCTATAGGATATAATCAACCTTTATTACAACTCTAATGTAATCACGATTTCCCCTAAACTATACACGACTCAATTTTTGGCCATAGATAAACTTGACTTATAACATTTTTGGCCCGTACACACATGCACGCACACACCCGATCATCGCCTCAGAGAGAATAATTTTATATTTATTGTAGTATTTTTATATTTGACTAATCTAGGAATTAGAAAATGATAAATTAAACTTTTTTTTTTTTTGAACATATTTGTAAGGGACGGGTTTTGAACCTAGCCCGAGGGAGAAGGGAATGCACCGGGGTGGCTATTGCCACTATGTTTCAAGGGCTAGGTGCAATGATAAATTAAACTTAGTACTTTAGTAGCATATCATAAAATAATAATAATAATAATAATAAAGGATTAATTAATGAAGTTAGGGCAAGAAATAACTTACAGTCCAGTACGTAAACAGCCTAGGCCTGCTGTCCCCATAGAGCTCCGGACTGACCTGACTAGTAGAATAATCAAAGCTTCAAATCTCCATTAAAATAAAATAAAAAGATTTATTTATTTTCAAAATATAATATTTATTTCGTAGGATTACTCTTTGCTTTCATAAGAGTGTTAATTATAAAATAAAAATGAAAATCAAAACCTTATGACATTTTAAATGTTGGAATTTTTTGTGAATATTTTAATATTTTTAATAAATATTTATTATTTATTAATTAATTAAAGATGTTTTATTTTTTTTTCTTATCATTATTGAAATTTTAATTGATAGGATGTTTTAATTTTTTTTTTCAATTCTTAATTATAAAATTCATATAAAATAATTATTATGAAAATTTAAATTTAAAAAAATTAAGAAAGACAAATATTTTGGTCGTGAAAATTTTATTTCAAAAACTAAAAAATTATATTCCACTACTATTATTCTCTAGAAAGAAATTATGTATATTTCTAAAAATTTCAAAATTATTTTTTTATAAAGATTATAATTTGATCAAATTTTAACTTGTACTAAAATAGAAAACCTTTTGAACAATAAAATCAGAGGCAAAAATGAAATAAACAATAAAATCATTTATTTATTGAAGAAAAAAAAATTTTAAGTGTTGTTTGCATGGAATGGGAGAAGAGGAAATGGAAGGAGTACCTGCCACCCAGCTTCGATGCTATTGAGATCTGAGCCGTCGAATGATCCCGAAAGAATCCAAATCTGGGAGAGGCTGAACTCGCTGACCATTTGGATCGATGGGTCCCACACGTTTATTGTCGCCTTGGCCCCATACACTTCTTGCGATGTTTTCGTGTACGCAATTGCATGCTACCAAATTGCACCCACAAAAATTATGAATTTACTAATTTAATGGAGGAAAATTTTCATTTAAAGGAAGAAACTAATAATTTTCATATATATATTACTAATATTTTTTTAATAGTATTAATCATATTTAAATTTCATAATAACATTTCAAAATCTAACATTTATTATTTCTCGTTTAAATTAGTGTAATTAGGTCAAATATTATTAATAAGTAAAATTTTTATTATTCTTTTTGTTAGCTACTTTTTTTAATGCTGGATAATTAAAAGAAATTTATTTCATAAAAAAAATTTATATACTCGCCATTAAAATTTTTTTCCCAAAATTTTGTTGAAAAAAGAAATATAGAGGATAAAAAACAATGCAAGGAAAACCATTTCTCCAATTTATTCCGTGTTTGTTCTTCATATTCTCAATAAATTTAAAAAAAAAATCAGAAAAATATGATAAGGTATGATAACATACTTCGTGGCCGTTGCCACTGACGACATCTGGTGCATCGGAGCGTCGGGCGAGAGAGACTATGGGCCGTTTCCGGCCAAAATCAAACAAAGACTTGGCTCTCAAGACATCATGCACAGTGCTTCGCCGTATAGGAACCGTGCCCTTAGGGCATCTTGTCCCATTCCTATGCCACATTTGCCACGAACCTTCTACGCCTTGGTCATTTGAATATCTCCCCTCATTTTTTCTTAAAACCTTGATCTTGGGAAATTCTGGAGGAACTTTCTGTTTTACCAACACAAATTTTATTAAAATCCTAACAAATATATATATATATATGTAAAAGAATGTGAGATTTTAAAAGTGTTTAGACTTATGGAATACTGTTTATGTCTAATTAATATTTCTGTTCAAAATGAGAAACTTGGAAAATCTTTAAATTTCAGATTCAAACTGTATATAGGACCTACCCCTTTCGAATTTCCTCCCCATTTCGATGCAAGCTAATATAACAGTAATAGGATGCATGGTTTTTTCAAAAAGGAAGAAAATGTGGAATTTTGTACCTGGATCTCGTGATTCTTCAAAAGGGGGTGATCTAAAGCTGGTTGCTTTCTTTTATGGACACAATCTATTATATCTCCATCTGGGCTCTGTAGGAATTTAAAAAAAAAAAAAAACAAAAAAAGGTAAACAGATAGAAAGAAATATTAGAAGATAGAGAAAAGCATTTTCCTATGTATAGCGTATTTATATACATACATACCTCTATAGTTAAAACAGGAGGCTTGTTGATCTTGTCCAAATGCCTTTGGATTCTTTCAAGTCTCAAGCTGCTAACTTGTTTATAGGTGTAATTCAGGGCTGAGGCATGCATAAACTTGTCGACGAAAAGGGAAGCTAGAAAGAGGAGAAGAGGAAGAGGAAGAGGAAGAGAAAGAGGAAGAGGAATAAGAGAACAAGAAACCCTTCTCTTTGTTGAATTAGCAAAGGCCATGTTCTCTCTTATTCAGTGCCTAGAGAGAAGGGAAAACACAGGAGGAAAGAGGAAAGGAAAGGAAATGAAAACTAGCTAGCAAACCATTTTAGCTAGCAAAAACAAAAGAAATCTGAGTATTTTCTTGATCTTGCTATTACCAAACACCCACACAAACATGTAAATGAAACACAGAAAATGACTGGGAAGAAGAGAGAAAAGGACTTTTCTCTTCCTTTCCTCTTATCTCTTTCCCTCTTAATGGGGAGAAGAAAGAGGTGGGTGAAGGTTAATTAAGCTGCACACAGAGGGCACCTTACTCTTTCACCATCAAGATCATGATTGCCTGCATCGGATTCATATATGGGTTTTTGATTTTTTTTTTATTCTTTATTTTTTTGGGGCGGGGTGTTTTTGTATCCGTAGAGTTGCACCAAAAGCAAAGTAAGAGAAGGGAAAGACTTGAAGGCACTAATAAAACCCAGACCTACCCAACTAAACAGGGCCCCCTTTTAGCACTTCTCCTTCAATGTGTGCATCTGCCACCATATACTTTGCCATTAATATTTTTCTCTCTTCTTCTTTTTTTTCTTTTTTTTTTTTTTCATAGTCTCACCCAACTTCTAGTTTTCTTTTTCTTTTCTTCACTTCGCAGTCTCTCTAAAATCCCTTTTCTTTTACCTTTCTTTTAACTCCATGGAGTACTCAATTGGTGTATGCTTCCTACCCTCTTCTACTGCCACATGGCACCTAATTTTAGGTACATGATGAAATCCAAATTTTGAATATGATGTGTCACCATCTTCAAAATGCAATGATCTTTTATTTCTCCTATATTCACACCTCCCAAAATAGTCATACAATGATAAATTGATGGATTTATGTCAATGGAGTATGGGTTCTGTAATTAAGTATATATGCTAGAGCTTCAGTTTCAGATGGCTCTATTTCTAAATATCATCACAGTCAAATGAAAAGTTTTTTTTTTTTTTATAGCATAGGTATCTAAATCTTTGGTCCAATTAATCCAATATGAATATGTATATCATTTTGTTTAGAAATGTTGAGCAATGATGCTTGGTCGTCTGGACTTGTCCTAATTGTTTGTATTTAAATGATAATAGAGTAATCATTTTTTTTAAAGTCAACCGAGTAACTATATTTTAAATACAACTTTTTCCGATGGAAATGTTTAAATTTATTAAGGGCCTATTAGTTAGAAGAAAACTTTATTGAAATAGTTTTTACTAGCAAAATATTGAATAAAAATTGATAATTTTTATGATTAAATTTTATTAGAATTTTGTTAGAATTATTAAATTTTCTATATTTCATAAGAAATTGATATTGAAAAGTTAAAGAAAAGTTTTTCTTTTCAAAAAATATATGAGAAGAAAAGTTTACCTATTGGTTTAAAGAAAAGTTTACCTATTGGTTTAGAGAAAAGTTGAAGTTAAAAATATCAACTTTATTATTTTTTTTATAATACTGAGTTAACAAAAAATAAAATAAAATAACTTTAAAGAATTACCCTAGTAAGGCGAAAGCATGGAGGATAGTTTCTTACTCCTCAGCCAAACACACCTTAAATATCAAAAGGGTGACAATTAAACATTTTATTTATTTATTTATTAAGTATTATCATTAATTTCAGAAGAGACGAATCCAAATTAAGAGGGGAGACTCGATTATAACATAAATTTATGAAGATTTTACTGTTGCTACCAAAGTAAGAGTTGACTCATAAATAAGTCAACTCCCCAATTAATTATCTCGAAATCTCTAAACTCAATGGAAAACATAGTTAACTCGATTGTTAAATATTCAACTTGAGACTGAATTGAGCAAGTTGAATATTTGAGGCTCATATTCAAATCAATAATAGGGAATGGATTTGGATATCCTTCCGTTTTTATATTCAATTCTTCACTTAACACCAAATTTATTCAAATATAAGCTCTATTTGATTTAGTTATTTCAAACAACCCATAATTGATAATCAATATATAATAATTAATAGTATATAAATTATAAAAGTAAAAAATATTAATCATAAAATATCTATTGTTAATTATGAATTGTTTAAAATGATTAAGGGTCGTTTTATATAGGGAATGGATTTGGATATCCTTCCGTTTTTATA